GGGAGACAGGGCAGGAGAAGGAAGAGCGTACGGTAATCTTGGCCTCAGCTATCGCAGTCTTGGAGATTTCCAGAAAGCCATAGAGTACCTTGAACGATGCCTCAAAATTTCGAAAGAAGTGGGAGACAGGGCAGGAGAAGGAAAAGCGTACTGTAATCTTGGCAACGGCTATGACAGTCTTGGAGATTTCCGGAAAGCCATGGAATACCATGAACGACACCTCAACATTTCGAAAGAAGTGGGAGACAGGGCAGGAGAAGGAATAGCGTACTGTAATCTTGGCAAAGCCTATGCGAGTCTTGGAGATTTTCGGAAAGCCATAGAGTACTATGAACGACACCTCAAAATTTCGAAAGAAGTGGGAGACAGGGCAGGAGAAGGAAAAGCGTACTGTAATCTTGGCAACGCCTTTAAAAATCTTGGAGATTTCCAGAAAGCCATAGAGTACCATGAACGAGACCTCAAAATTTCGAAAGAAGTGGGAGACAGGGCAGGAGAAGGAAGAGCGTACTGTAATTTTGGCAACGCCTATCAAGGTCTTGGAGATTTGGAGAAAGCCATAGAGTATTATAAGAAGAGTGTTACAGCCTTCGACCACATCAGGGGAAATCTCATATCTAAGGACGAATGGAAGATAAGCCTTCAGAATACGTATGATCATATTAATTTGAGTCTATGGGGGCTGCAGTTTAAGGAAGGTAAAGTCACCGAGGCACTTTTAACTGCTGATCATGGACGTGCACAGGCTCTAAACGATCTTCTGAAGTTCAAGTATGGCCTTAAAGGGCCACGCTCAGATATAGGAACACTTTCTGCAAGACCAAGTGACTTTTTTGGCTCCGTACCTTCAAATACAGCTTTTATAGCTATCAACGAAGGAGGAATAGTTCTGTGGGTGAGCCAGAAAGGAAAAAAAATCAAAACTAGAAGAAGCGAGATTGTTATCCCTGCTACAAACTATTTTCAGTCTCTTTTGGAAACTGTACATAAAGAAATAGGTGTGAGAGCTGATGTTATTTGTGAAGATCGCTCATTAAAGAACCCAAACGATAAAAAGTTAGAAGAAAAAACCATTAAGTCAAAGTCTCATCCTTCATGTTTTGAGACAAAATCATTACAAACATTTTACAATGCTGTTATAGACCCTATAAGAGACTTACTCCAGGGCGATGAGGTTGTGGTCGTTCCACAAGGACCTCTGTATTTGGCGCCTTATGCTGCTTTAATGGACTTGAAATCAAAGTACCTATGTGAAACTTTCAGAATTCGTCTGCTTCCCTCACTTTCTAGTCTTCGATTAATCCACAATAGTCCAGCAGATTGGCACAGCAAGACTGGCGCTCTTCTCGTCGGCGATCCGTGGGTACAGGAGGTAGTTTATGAAGGAAGGAGGCTAGAGCAGTTAGAGTGGGCTGAAAAAGAAGTGCAAATGATTGGGAAAATACTTCAAACTGTACCTCTCGTTGGAAAACGGGCAACTAAAGATGAAGTTTTGAGACGTATCTCCTCGGTTGCTTTGGTGCACATTGCTGCTCACGGTAAAATGGAAACAGGAGAAATTACCTTGGCCCCTAGCACAACACGTTCATCATTCGGAAATCCAGCCAGGGAGGACTATCTCTTAACTATGCAAGATGTTTTAAAGGCGCAGATTAGGGCAAGACTTGTTGTACTTAGTTGCTGCCATAGTGCTCAGGGAGAGGTCAAATCTGAGGGTGTGGTCGGCATCGCACGGGCATTTTTGGGTGCTGGTGCTCGTTCTGTTCTGGTATCCCTGTGGGCGATCGATGACGAAGCTACTATGGAGTTCATGAAAGTTTTCTACCAACAACTAGTCCATGGACGAAGTGCCAGTGAGGCCCTGAATATAGCCATGAAATCCATGAGAGAATCTCACCGCTTTAACGCAGTGAAGTACTGGGCGCCGTTTGTTCTCATTGGTGATGACGTAACGCTTGAGTTTGAAGGCATCGATTAAATAGCAAGGTATTTTGGTATACATTTAAACCTGGGATCATAATCCCTACTTTTGCAAATGTTATTTTAAGAATTATTTCTGTCGCTTATAAGGCAACGATCTAACTCAACCGATGCCACTTATAACGTCAATCTGCCTATCACAGGTTGACAGCTACAAAGAAGCCTGACTTTGGTAGTTTGTTTGGCAGTTAAACTACAAAATGTATTTCAAATCTGATGATTTTTTTTACATTTCAATGTTTCGGCGTCCCTGTTTGAGTTCGCTCCATTGGAACTAACAGTCGATCTTGACGTAAGCGACGACCCAAAATGCCAAGATCAAATTTTTGGTCGCTTATTTCACGTTGAGTGGTCGCTTAGGAAAGTCTCCAAATATGGTTAATCTTCTATTAAGCCTTCCGGGGGGTTTATTCATTTCAAGAACGTTTGAGCGAGGGGCTTATTTTATTAAATGAAGTTTTTGAGATCATTTCCCCATAAAGAACTAGAACGCTAAGTGGAAAAGTCCAGGCACCTGAAGTTGGAGGTCATCAAACCGAAGGTCAAAATCAAATCCGAACTTCCAGCTCGTGAATAAACTATATTGGATGATCAGCCCACATGAAGTGTTATAGTCGTGACAAATTGATTGATATATCATACGTTTATTATATATGAACAGAGAGAGGGAGCTTGAAAGAGAGATAGGGTTTATGCTATGCTAGTTTATTTAAATCTACAATAGGTTTACTCGTGGGTTGAAGTTACCAGTTTTAATATGGCCCTTTGCTCTAAAAGATTTAGAGCGTTTTCGATTCACCGTCTTTCGCGTCCCAAATAAGAAAAAATGGGGTAAACTCGAATGAAATCACTTGTTTTGGCTTTCATTGTATTGCAGTATCTACAAAAATGATTAAAATAAAGTAATCTGATCTATATAAACTTTAAACGGTCCAAAAACGTACGGTATGGAAGAGGTTTGTAACAAAACGTTTGCGTATTCGTTTTCCGGTATACGATCAATCGGGCGCACTCTTAGAAGCCAGTTGTCAAAATGTTTTTTTCGCTAGCTGAAATCACTATTCTTCTCTTCTGCTAGTTTGCTAACGTTGTTTTTTGCTGTTTTTGTTGTTGTTGCTATTCTATAGGTATGATGAAGAATGCAGTGAAGCAGTTCCTAAGTTGAAGTCAGTTTCTTATTTGTCACAATTACGCCGTGGAACGTTTCTCCCAAGAATAGCAACACTTTATCCCGAACAGAAAATTATATGCTGTTCATAACTAAGTTGAAGCTTTTTGTAGTCTGAAAATTACAGTGTACGTGTCGGGTGCACTTGGATTTGTTTTATAGTCACCTGAAAAGTATCAGGAGTCAGAAGTCAATTTCGGCTATTTTCATTGTTATACCACATGTGACAAAGGCAGTTTAGGAAGGTGTGTCTCCTGGCAATTTAATGT